GTTTGTTTTTCAGAGTGCTTGGAACTGCACAGTGCACTCCTTGTTGACTAGCTTCCATCAGCAGCGGCAATTAACATCGGTTTCCTAGGCAACCATTCTGTACCCTACAGAGTAAAACCTTTTCTTGACAGGAGCGTTCTGTCTCAAATTGTTTTGTTTTCCTTCTTCACGAGTGTGCGAGTGTGCGGTAGGCTTGCTTGTCATTTCTTTTAACACACCGTTATTATGCCTGTTATTCTTCAAAGCAGAAACATTTACTGGCTTTTATATTCCATATGGTTGAATTTACTGTCAGTGTCTCTTACCTCCCTCTTAAGAACATGAAAGAAAACAAAAAAAATATGCTCTCAGGCATAAGCCAACTCATTTGGATTTCTTATTCATGGTCTAGTGGGTGCACCTTTGCATGTTCAAGTAATTACAGCTGCATCTGATGAAAATCCAAATAACATGCATTCCAAATCAAACATTTGGTATATACTAACAATGTCAGATATTGCTCAGAAGCTAGTTAGCATTTTCTCAGGCCACTGAGAAAGTCTCAATATCATTATTTTTGTTTTAAATCAGTCCAACAGTATTGGTAGATTTACATAACAAATTTACTACACTAAAAATATTTGATTGCCTTAAAAATTTGGACATGACCAAAAGACAGCTGTATCCTTAAGAACATTGTTGTTGTTGTTGTTGTGTTGTGTGCTATAGAGTTGGCCGATCCATAACTGACCTTCCAGTGGGTTTTCAGAAGCAGTTAATTGCAAGTGAAGAGATTGCCCATCCTCCCTCGAACCCTCAGCCTTTAGGGTTGCAGAGCAGCCTTTTGCCACTAGGCCACCAGAGCTCCCTAAGAACATGGGGGGCAGGTGGGGACAGGGAATAAATCAGTTACAGCCGTTCTAAATGCTGAGAAGTATGTTCTTTTTATTGAAATAGTAAGTGGCAAGAGAGCAGATTGTTTAAAAAATAAATGTCACTTATAATAGTAATAGATGATAGGTACACAGACAGATAGATGTTATTTTTCATCACGTTAAATACAACTCAGATCTGAAACCTGCCCTATCCTGTACCATCCACACCATCTTGGACACAGTCACAGTGTCAGTCCATCTTGGTGAGGGTCTTCCTCTCTAACACTGACCCTTTCTAACCATGTCCTTCTCTAAGGACTGACCCCTCCTAACTACATGCTCACAGTATATGAGCGGAAGTTTCACCATCCTTGCTTCCATGTTAGAAATGCAGTTGTGTTGACTCTGACTCATATCATCCCTCTGTACGACTGAACGAGACGTCACCCACTTTTGTGTCATCATCATGATCAACAGCATGTTCAGGTCCACGGTTGTGACGTTTGTGCTCCTGATTCTCACTTATACAAGGACCTCTTCTTATGTAAATATAAAACTTACACAAATCCAAGTGGTAACTACAAAGGACAGTTAAGTTTCTATTGTCCATTATTTTGCCAATTTTCTCTTCTGGAAAGTTTGTTATTTTGTGGATTAAATGTTGTTGTTGTTATGTGCCATCGAGTAGTTTGTGACTCATAGCAACCCTATGTACAAGAGCTCTAAATGCTGTTCTATCCTGTGCCAACCTAGCCATCTTAAATGTACTTATTCGAAGGTCTTCCTTTCCTTCACCACCCCCCACTCTGCCAAACATGATGTCCCTCTCCAAGGACCAGTCCCTCCTTGCAACATGCCCAAAGTATGTCAGACCAAGCTTCAGAATCCTTGACTCCAAGGAGCTTTCTGGCTTCACCTTCTCCAGGACGAATTGCATTGGGAAAGTCAGCTGTGAGGGACCTCTCAAAAGTACTGAAGAGCAATGACGTCAGGCTGGAGACTAAGGTGTGCCTGATCTGGGCTATAGTCTTCGCAATTACGTGCTGTGCATCAGAGAGTTGGACAGTGAATGGGGTTGATAGAAAGAGAATTGATGCCTTTGAGCTGTGGTGCTGGAAAATAGTGTTGAATATACCAAGGACTGCTAGGAGAACAAACAGGTTTGTCCTGGAGAAGGTGAAGCCGGAATGCTCCTTGGAGTCAAGGATTCTGAAGCTTGGTCTGACATACTTTGGGCATGTTGCAAGGAGGGACTGGTCCTTGGAGAGGGACATCATGTTTGGCAGAGTTGAGGGGTAGCGAAGGAAAGGAAGACCTTTGATGAGATGGATCAGTTCTGTGACTGGAGCGGTGGGAATAAGTGCATTTGATATGGGTAGGTTGGCACAGGATAGAACAGAATTTAGAGCCCTTGAACATAGGGTTGCTATGAGTTGCAAACAACTTGATGGCACATAACAACAACAACACACAACAATTATATATATATACTTAAATAGGTGTGTATAACCAAGTTTCTACTTGGAGGCTAGGATTTTGAAGCTTCGTCTCACATACTTTGGGTTTGCAGCCAGAAGAGACAGTCCTTGGAGGAGGACGTCATGCTTGGAAGGACGAAGGGACAGAACAGGAGAGGGAGACCCCAGAACAGATGGATTGATACAGTAACTGAGGCAATTGGGGTTGGTGTGTCAGAGTCAGTGAGACTGGCTCAGGACAGGGCAGGCTTCAGAGCTGCTTTGGTCACAGGTGACTGTACAGCACATAACAACAACTACATATATGTGTGTATATAACACTCTACTAATTACTTGTGAGTTGGAGCTTTTAGCTGACCCTCCAGCAGGTTTTCTGTGTCTGTCAATAGTCCCATTGGAGTCTGCCATTTCTTTCTCTAAAGAGTTGCTGGTGCTTCTGAACAGAACACGACTATTTATGGATTAAAATACCAGAGTGAGCTAGTGAGCAAGCTCACTAGATACAGTCACATATATTTGGTCCCTTAAATTTGTATTTTTATGAGTCTGGTTTTCTGACAGTATTTCTGTTTTCTCTATTAGTTTGGCATTTTTACGATTACTTTTCCCTGACTTGTGCTCAGATTCTGGATGATTTTTGCTTTATCTTAGGAGCCAGCCTCTGAAGAGTGAAGTTCACACAGGAGCTCTGCTGGCCAGGCTCCCCTTGAGAGAAGGGGAGCTCCCTTTCCACTCTTTGCATCAGGACAACCCTTAGTTGGAAGATTTTCCATTGACAAGACTCACTGATACTCCTAGAATATTCACTGTACACTTTATCTTAGAAAATGCTTATTTCCTATTTGAAAAGTTCTCACAATATTGTTCTCCCAGGAAACTTTAGAATTGTATGTCATGATCAGCAACACCTCACAACAGCATGCTTTCCCACACAGTCTGTTTGATTATTCTAAAATAGCAATTTTCTCAAAATCTGTTAAATTCAAGAAAAAAAAAGTTACCAGTTCTTCATGGGTAAGATATTTTCATATAACTTTTGCTTGAGTTATAACCCCTTTGTAAGTTCTTATTCAACTTTGAAACTCAGATGCATTTGTAATGGTCTCTGAAATAAAAACAATAGGATCCACATCATCTGTGTAAGGTAAATGATAGTTTCATGGGAATAATTCTGTGCTCACAGTTGGAACGGGGCACTGACTGAAATGGTGCATTCATTTCATTTGGGTACACACATGTCCCTGTTGAGTGAGCAAAATTCTCTATTTGTCTCTATTTAGACTGTTCTGAAATGCCTGTGTGTAGTGTACCACAGTGTCACCGCCATCCTGTGTGACTACCTCTTTTAAGTATTTAATCTACCTCTGTCCTTTCTCACTAAACCTCAGCATTTAAAATAATCCTCCATCATGTTACCACTATTCAAAATTAAGTTCCATAAAAAAAAACTCTGATATTATATATGATTGCTCAGTTATAATTTGTTGAGCTATACAAATATAAGGTATCTTTGGTGGCCTAGTGTTAAAGAGCTGCACTACCTTCCCAAAGGCATGTGGTTCAAATCCACCAACTGCTCCACTGGAGAAAAAAATCGGCAGCCTCCTCCTCTGAGATTTTCTGCCTCTGAAAACCCTCTATCTATGAGTTGGTTTTGACTTGACAGTCCTCGACAGTAACAACATACAAATATATACGTGTATTCATTTGATGCCTTGTCTTTGTAATGGGTATGATACAGCACTGGGGGTGTTGTGTGCAGTTGAGTCAAAATCAAGTCATCACTGAGCCTCTGGCAGGTTTTCAGAGACAGGAAATTGAACAGAGGAGATGGCCCATCATTTTCACAAGGAGCAGCTAGTGAATTGGAGCCACAAGCCTATAAGATTACAAAGCCGCTTCTTACCACTAGATCTCCTTTAGCGTTGGAGAGACTTCGAAACACTTGTTATCTTCAAAGAGATTATTTTGGACACAAATGCACTTTATTTCCTTTAAATTCTCTCATCCTAAGGTCTTCATAATCTCTCTTATTCACATGGATCCTGGATCAGTCATATTATCACAAATACACATTCTAGACATTTTCTGCAGAGTTCAGATGTTAGTATTCCTACAAGTCAGCACAAAGAGTTATTTGATTGACATTTTTCTGCCATCTGTTAAGAAATGTGTAAAATAGATGTTAAATTCAAATATGAAAATATTATTTTCTTTGAATTTGTTTAATAGGTACCAAAATGAAATAAATTCTTTTTGTGTGAACAACTTATAATAAATAAAATGCCACAAAAAACTGTTAGTATCTTTTTTTCCTTATTGTATTTATAGTGCTTAACTCCAAAATGTCCATGTCTTTTTTAGCTTCCCTTTTCTAATGGTATATACACAACACATATACAACTGGATATATGTGTGTGTGGTCTTGCCATTTAAAAAAAATCTTTCCATTCTTTAGAGGGCAGTGAAAATGAAATTGGAATTGACTGAAGTGTTTGATTTCTTGGGGTTTTTTGGGGGAGGGGGGATAAATTATCTACTGGTTTACGTACAACGTTCATAAAGTTCGTATACATTGTTTTTTCACACTGGATCTTTCTCCTTGCTTGTTTTGATGTCTGCTTCAACTCCTCCTGATTGTGCCTTCCTTTGTTGCTGTCTGTTACAGAGGAGGTGTCTGCAAGGATAGTTCAAGTAGTCACTGCTGAGGCTGTAGCAGTCCTGAAAGGCGAACAAGAGAAGGAAGCCCAACATAAAGACCAGCCTGCAGCCCTGCCTCTAGGTAAATGAGAAAGAGCCTCCGGCCAGAAGCTGTGTGCCTGTGTTCTGGCCACAGGGCATAGTCTTCATATTCAAAGACAGGCCATGCCTAGGGTTCATCTTTACCTACGACCTTCATCACACAGTTTTCTTTCATTACACTGGGATTTATTGCAACCTTTAGCAGCAGGCTAATTGTGCTATCCAGTCAATCTTTAAGATGATTGACTCTAATGCTCTTAGACTTAGTTGTTTTTAAAAATTTCCTGACCACTGTAGAGAGTTAAGGGAGCTCTGGTAGTCTGCTGGGAAAAGAATTAATTATATCACCAACCCAAAGGTGGCAAGTCGAATCCACCGGCTGCTCTGTGAGAGAAAGAAAGGCAGCTTCCTCGCATACGTATTTATAGCCTCTCTAAACCCACTATTGGGCCAACTGTGAGTAAGGTCTGACTCAGCAGCAATGGGATGTGGTTGATGAATTACAGCGAGTTATAAAAAGAAAACCACTGTCATGTTTTCAGACATTCACCTGTAAGGTGAATGCTAATACTTTAGAAATTATTGTTTTCCTTTGCCGTTTTGAGAGGATGTCTGTACAACAGATTTGGGTCTCCCTAAACTGGCTACACAAAACCTATTGCCCAAGCTTTGTTCAAAACCATCAGTGACTTTTGTATCCCATGTAAAGTGATGGTCCTTACTTGGTTCATTTACTCAGTTAAGGTCCCAGGGCAGCACCGCTCTCTTCTGAGACCCTGAATATAGGCAGGTAAACTAAACTCATGCTTGCCAAGTAGAACTCTTGGGACCACAGACTTTCTGCCCCTTTTAAGTAGAGAATAGATAGCTAGGAACTAGAACAGATCTCTATATGTATCTATGTATTTATATCTGCATGTGCAGAGATGTAAAAAAGAAATCTCTATTTGGTTCAATATTGTTTGCTTTATAAGTCTTTGTTTATAAGGTTTTGTATATATGTTTGTTTTATAAACTTATTAATTAGTGGGAGTTTTAAAACTGAAAATAGTATGTTGCATTCTTTTCACTCATGTATACTTGGTTTTTCATTTTCTGATCAGTATTCACTTATGAAAAGTGTGATCAATATAAAATATCTTAAATAATTTAAAGTAGCTATTTCAAGACAATGTAAAAATCACTTACTTCCATAACTGTTATTTGGCTATCAAGGACTATTTTTCTCTTAAAAAGAAAAGGGAAAATGATCTAATCTAAAACTTTAACCTTTCAGTCTGTTCGCTTTTATAGTCTTTGAAATAAGAGAACTCGGTTTTTGTTTATTTGGTGGGGGTTTTTTTTTGTTTGTTTTTCTTTTTTCATTTGAAACCTTAAAATAGCCCATGCTTAAGCCTTCTTCCACTCTCAGATTGAAATCCCCATACTATGATAAAATAAGTGGTAAGTGTTTTCTTTAAAATGGTTTATCCTAGTATGAGAAAGCATAAAGAAGGTAAGTGTCTTCAAGAGATAACCCAGAGTAAACAGTAGATGAATTACACTGGTCCTTCGTCATATAAATGCAAGGCCTCATGTTTACACTGTTCCTTCTGGCATGGGGAAAAGTTGGCAGTCCATGACTGCTTCCCAGTCCTTCTCCAAGAAGCACAATTGTGATAGTAGACTCCAATGGCAAGCTGTTTAAAATAGCTAAAGGAACTGATTGAGCATTTGTTTTTAGGTCAAGAACTTAAACAATATAGAGTGCTAATTAGTATATGTATCAGTCAAATCCAAAATTAAATTACTTACCTGTGTGTGTTTGCTTATGGTAGAAAAGGACAGGTATGAAGTATTTTGTTAATTGAGCAAGAAGACAAGTAAGTAGGATTAATACAAAAATTTAGCAGGAGTCTCCCATCAATTTTTTTTGTAGAGGAGACAGGATGATATTTTGACAAATATTAAGCGCTATTTTTTTCTTTATAGGTTTAAAAAACATGTGAATCAGGTCTTGAAGCTAAAAATAAGTCAAGGACAGATCACTATTGAATCTTTCCCTGAATTGCAAAGAGAGTCCTTTTTTACAGATGGAAGAACAGCCAACAAAGCTAATGGCCTAATCAGATTAATTGTTGTATCTCATTTTCCCATTGTTTGATCTTTAGCAGCTGAAGACACAGCTAATCTGCCTCCTTCTCCACCCCCATCACCAGCCTCAGAAAAGACTGTCACAGTAGGAGAAGGTAAGACCCATCAAACTTTTCAGGATCTGTCTTCTGGTAAATGGTGAAGAAACTGGATTATTGAAGGACTGAATTTCACTCTGGGTCAGTAGGGGACCCAAAGATATAATGATTTGTCCACGTAAAACCAAATTAGAGGAATACAGTGAACAAAACAAAAGCTCACATGATAAAGCAAAAGAAAACTCTGTATAAGATGCTAGATAGAATATATAGAAGTCAGTTATTTAAATAGAATATAAAATATTTTGTTAAAAAAAGATACTATGATGATGTTTGCTAGCTCATAAATTATTGACGGTAAAGAAGAATGAATGTTCCTTTTATGGCAGGAGTTATATTTATTGATGAAACAGTTACTTTTTCTGGCAGTGTGAGAAAATATCTCTGTTTACTCAGGACTGTATTGCTAAGGCCTTCTCTAGGGTCTGGCACATGACAGTCTCAATAAATATTTAGTGAATAAATGTAGAAATTATGAATTAATCTGGTATTGAGGGTCGTGAACTGGAAACTCCTGCTAAGACCTCTTAGGCTCTAGGTGTACATTTACTCAACATGGACTGCCATGTCAGCTTTTATCTTCTCCTTGATAAAATAGAGGGATTCCCTTGAAGAATATTTATTTATAACCTGAGATGAAAGGCATTGTTTAGGAGAAAATTATTATTCATTCTCTGATTTAGATTACCCAAAAGGTATAGAAAAGACAGAGCTACAGCTACATTGTTGTTTCCACATAATTAAGTTTTCAAATTCTAAACTCAGCAATTTAATATTATTCCATTTTATTCACTTATTTACTCACTTTTTTCTGTATGTTGTCATTAGAATTTATTTTACTGTTTAAAAATAGATTATATTTATCACAGAAAATTATATTTTCATATAAGTCTATTTATTTAGAAGAATATTCTTTAATTTCCTAAATATAAATATATTGTTGTTGTTGTTAATTTTTATGCACCGTCGAGTCACCTGCGACTCATAGCTACCCTAAGTACAACAGCCCTAAACTCTGCTCTAATCTGTGCCAATCATACTGTCTCTGACACACCTACCTCCATTACCCCAGTCACTCAATCAATCCACTTCATAGAGGGTCTTCCCCTCCTGCGCCCCTTCCAAGCATGACGTCCCTCTCCAAGGACTGACCTGGCCTTGCAACATGTCCAAAGTATGTCACATGAAGCTTCAGAATCCTTGCCTCCAAGGAGCAGCCTGGTGTCTCACCCTCTGTATGTTGCTGTTGTTGTTGTTGATTGCCATCAAGATGATCATGACTCATAGCGACTCTGTGAACAAAAGACCTGAAGCCTTTCTATAACTATCGCCATTTCAACAAGTTCATAGAGTTTTCAGAGAGGCATGTTGTTGAGGAAGTAGATGTTACTCCCGCTTCCACACCTGTCTTAAACTGGGAGCTCTGCTAGAAGCTGTCCACCATGGGCAACCATTATGGTATTTGACACCCCAAAAGCACAAGGCTCAGCATCATAGCAAACCCACCCTCTCTATAGATTATTGAAATATAGACTATGACCTCTAAGACAATTCTATTTTAAATATAGATTCACTTTGCTTTGTTTTTAAATTAAGTGTCTTCTATTCTTTTTTAATGGTGCTATTTTTCTCATTTACTACCTAAAAGAAGGCGAGACAAACAAAATTATTCTAATAAAGAAAACAAAAATTGATAACTAGAGCAGAGTAGTCACTGATTTTTACTACCTTAATTCCTTTAAAAATATGAGTTGATCTAAATGAATTTGAAATTTTATATTTATACATTTTAAAAGATTCTTTTTCATCTTATATTTGTAGATTCATCCAGTAAGTAATTGTTGAGCACCAAAATGTTCCAAGCACCCCTTAAAATATTGGAATATTGTAGTGAACAGAACAGATAGGGTTCCTTCTTTTCAGGAGCAAACCATTGGACAGAGAACAAAAGTTCAGTAAATAAACTCACAAATAATTTCAAGCTAGACCAAAAATGGAAAGCTTTGTTTTGTTGGATGGTTAACAAATGTTTATTTAAAACAGTACCTTTTTAAAAAAATGTGATTTAATGAAATTTACAGAAAGGGTGGGTTTTCATTCATTCATTGTGGCACATTTTCTTCCCGCTTTTCCCCTTCCCCTCCCCTAATCCACTTTACAACACACCTTTCAACTGAACCCTCCAGAAGCAAGAGTAAGAGTTAGCTAAGCAAAGGTGGAAAAAAGGGAGCATTTTCAATAAAGGGGCTAGAATGTGGTAGGGCAGTCAGGTAGACAAAAGCATGAAGTGTTCTAGGAACTGAGGGAGACCCCTGAAGTGGTGGATGATGAGAAAGGATTAGAAATAGTAGAGATGGAGAATAGGCAACCACTGGCTGGGTTTAGGAGCAAGGATTTTACCTGAATGTCTTACTTAACAGTGTATTTCCCTTGGATTATTGAAAATCTTTGAGTCCCTTCTTGAGGCCTTTCAAGTGTCAGAGAGTCCTCTTAACCCCAGACAGAGCTGTGATGTTGACACACTTGACTTACCACAAAGGCCAGTCAGATAGCAAGTCATTTAGTTTTCTTATTCCTGTACTGAGGCTTGAAGCAGGAAAAGAATGGCTCTCCCATACACCCGGGAGTTTGCTCAACCTATTTTGTGGAGGTTATGAAAATTATATAATTAAAAATAAATCTAATATAGAATAATTTACTGGTAACTTTGGTGTCACTTTCCAGACTAACTGGACTCTAAGATTTTAGCGTCACATTGCCAAAGTAATTAGAGGGGAAAATGCTAATTCACTATTTAAAGTATTCAAAGAAACTTCATTTTAACATTTTAAAAAGAGCCCTAAATTTTATGAAGACTTTTTATACACACACACACACACACCCACACACACACATATACTTTTCAAACAAACTGTACTTCATTAGGTAATAGTGTCACTTTAAATGTTGAGAGATGTGTTAGCTAGACAAATTTGCCTTCTTTCTGCCATTACTAACCTACAGTTATATTATGCAGAATAAATATTAGTCTTTAAATAGCCAGTAGTTTTGTTAGAAGATAAATTACAAACTTCCACAAAACAGGGTTCAAGTGATTAATTTTTCAACCTAATTGGCTTATAAAGATGCAAATAAAATTCCATTAATGCAGTGGCATAGGGAGCTCTGGTGGCCTAGTGGCAAAAAGCTGTGCTGCAATCACAAAGGCAAGTGGTTAGAATCCACTAGATGCTCCGTTGGAGAAGTAGGGGCAATCTCCTCAAGGGCCAGTTGGATCTAGTTCGACGGTACACAACAAGGAAAAAAAGAAAAGAAAGAAAAAGATCTGTTACTGCAATGCCATTTAGCAGATTTGATGGAAAAAAGAGTAAGTAGTTTTGTGTGCCAGGTCCAAGGATTATATACTTTCTTTGATACAGCTTCAAAGTGGCTTTTAGCCCAGACCACAGAAAGTACAGCAAGAGTCTGATTCTTTCAGACAAATGGAAGAAAGACTCCAGATTAAATTGAATAATGTAATGATGTTGAGGCTATACTTACTTCTTATTAATTATCATATTTTGAATGCTGTTTCTTCCCCAGGGAAAAGCATAAAAGTTCCTGTTAAAAAGAACTTAAGATATAAGTGCCACTCACTTATGAATATTCGTTATTTATTATAATGAATATTACTAATCTCCAGAGTACATTTATTTTGTAGAATATTTACAAGGGACTTGATGAAGAAAATTAAACTCCACTTAGAAACATAATTACAGAAGAATGCATTGGACAATAAATCAACACTCTGCTGAATTAAGATATTGACAGATAACTACCTTTTTCTTTTTTGAACTAGCTACAATTGTCAGCTTTTGAACTGAACTATTAAGACAATTCAGAGGTGTTGAGGATATACTACTTCTTATTAATTTGCAGCCTGAACAAGAACTCTGGAACCATCTGAAAACAAGGCCAGGGATCCTTCTGCCTTCTTAGATTCCCTCAGAATTCTGGGGCTGTGTTTCTTGTGTTACCAGTATGGTGCCATAAAAATTCCTAATCTGAGAGCAGTTTTCCCTCCATATTATTCTGTGATGACAGTCAAAGCTAATGAGTCCTCCTCAGTCAAAGACTGGCAGTAGGAAAAGGGCTCTGCAGTGATGGAGAACCACAGGAGTGACCCCAGGACCTCAGCCTACCCTGTGATGTTTTGACAAGGACTACCACTGAGTCACGGAGGTTTTATGAGACTCTGCATCTACTCGAAGTGACTACTTGCTTATTCCAAAGATGGTTGGCATTCCAAGACTTAATTGAATTTTGCTTGAAAATCTTACTTGTAACCAAGAGAAACTTCCAATCATTTTTTTTCTGAACAAATGCCAATTAGGAAAAATTGTATTTTATCAAATGAAACCAGCTTCATTTTGAAAACACTATTTATGCAGAAGAGCTATGCAAGGACCCCTGCCCATTACTATCACATTCTTACATGAAATTCTGAACATGTTTGTAATAAAAGTAGGAACTCCGAAAAATATGCATGCTTGTAGTAAAAACATGCATTAAGTCCCCCTCTTCTGTAGCAAAGCAACTATTCAGAAATTATTTCATTTATCATAAAGACCTCAGCTCTAACTACTTTGATGGGTCAAGTGAAGTGAAAGTGTCAAAGAGGTCCTTACAACTTGTCCAACTGCTGAGGTCAAAGATGCTAACATATGTCAGATACTGTACTTGGCACTTTCTGCTAATGTCTTCTCATTTAATCCTCCCGGCAACACACAGAGAAGGATATTATTTTTCTCACTCTATTTCCTGGATGCCATGGGTAGTCAGAGTCTTATCTGGCATCTAAATCTGAGTCCTTGCAACCATGGCCCCATTGCCCCGCTTTTTTAAGTGAGAATTTTTTGTTATAAGCAACTGAACTACTTTTCTTTCTTCAAATTACCTCCAAAATAGTTCCTATAAATTTTCCATGTCCCTTACGTGCAATCCAAGAGCACCCACCA